CTTTTTTGGAACAGTCCCACCTTTTTTGGTGTACGTTTTTTTTTTTTGGGGGGAGGGGGTGATTTTGGAATCTCGGCTGGAACCTCTTAATTGTTCATATTCTTGGAGATGATTCGTATGCTCTTTGACTGTTCTTGCCATTTGGCCTTCATCATTTTAAGGCCACCATCATTCCTTTTGAAAAATTTGAGATATTTCCAAAGCAATAGATCTCAAAATGTAAACGCGTACATGAGATGAAGCTCAGCCTGCTCAGCAGCAGCTTTTCCTGCCGGGCTTTGCTGTATTTCCTTCTCTGCCTTTCTGCCTTCCCTGAGCAAGTCCTTACCCCCGCAGCATTTAGCATCACAAACACCAGCGCTCTTGTGGAAAGCTTACGTAGTTTGCATCTTCACAAAGCCAGATGTTTGGGAGCAAAGGAATATGAGACGTTGCTGTCCCTCGGCTCTATTCAAGAGCCATCAATCTTCCACTTCAGAAGTCTCATTCTTCCTCTTTCTAGAGCTCTTTGCCTTTTTAGCACTTCATCACAGCACTTTGTTTCACCAGGGAGTTTCTGCCTTGTTGTATGTTAATCAACAGCAGCAGGACCAGCAGCATCTGTGTGCTGCCAACCTTCTGGCCCTTTGGCAGTCTCAGACTAAAGTTCCTCGGAAGTCCCTTTTTTTAACGTTCCCATCCCAGAGCAATAGATGGTGCAAAGTGCTCTTCAGGTGCTGGAGTTTTTGCCCAAGCAGGTCTCATTTCATGTTTCAGAAGAAAACTGATGTTGCCTTTTCCCAAAGCGTTGGAGTCCCAGTGCTGACTTCTGTCTGGAGAAGGCACTGAAGATGATCAAATTGCTTCAGCAAGCCCAGCTAAATTCCCGCCCCCAAAGGATTTTTAGCTCTTCAGTCTTGCAGCTTGAAGAGCAGATGAGAGTGTAAATAGGAGTCACTCCTTCAAGATATCTGAAGAGCGTGGGATATCAGGTCCTTTCGGTCGGCGAAGAAAACAGGGAGGACTTAAGGAGGGAGAGTCTCATCATGCATTTTCCAGTCCGGGAGTCTAATAACTTACTATGGTGTATTTTTATATTTGAAAACCAAACACTGAAGTAATAATTTTGCTGGTCCTGACAAGCCTGCCATACCCATCACAAGATTCAATTTTGTATGCAGAATAGAAAAGAAACTCAAAGAACAGAAAAGATGCAAACTTTTCTCTCTCCTCTGCTGTGACTCTGCAAGATGCCTTCACCCATGCTTCTTCTTTCCCTGGTTCTTCAGCTCCTCCCTTTAAAGATGCCCTCTGCTCAGCCCAGAGCTATCACACATGCTGAACTCAGGAGGGTTTGGCATGGCGAAGCCATTCATCAGCCACCTCGGGTCCAAAGCGGTGAAGGACATGGTGGGGAGGGATTGTTCTCCTAACAGAGCTGTTCCAAGAGCTTTGGCCTTCAAATGATCAATCTGATTGAGGTCCAAGTCAAAGTGGAGAGGAGGTTTTTGGGGAAGGAGAGAAATAAATACCTCTTAAGAATATGGACTGATGAAAATTGTAGTCTGGATATATTCAGTGATGTTAAAAAGCTTATATTTTGTTTGACAAATTGTAAGTAAAACAAAGGGCAGTTAGCTTTATAGCACCTCTGGCTGCAGTGAATGGGCTTTTTAACTTTTTTTACCATCAAATCTGGATGTATGCATACTGGAGAAAAGCCTGCCGCGTGATTGTAAGTGTTCTGAGCATCTTCCAATTCAGAGTTACTGTTAGCATCAGCTGGAAAAGGGAGCTGATTTTTTTCATGATCATCTTCTTTAAAAAAAAAAAAGCTTGAATAGGTAGGGCTTACTAACCACGTGTGGTTCTTTTTCTTATACCTCAGTGATAACAGTTTTCAAGTATGAGATTCAGAAAGTGCTTAACTACGTATGGGAGGAGGAAAATGCAGGTAGGAGCAGTGAATTGCAAACAGAAGTCCCTGAGCATGTAGTTTACAGTAACTTGCCTTAATTATTGGTGGGTAGTGACTTCTGTTATCTAGCATCTGTCCTTTTGAGAACAATTTTCCATGTGCATACACTGAAGCAGAAGTCGTAAGTGACATCGTGTCAGGTTTTTTTTCCCAGAATCCATCAAACGCTGCCACTTGTCCAGGCTCCTCATTAGAGCCCTGTCTTGCTCTGCGTTACCCAGCTGTAACCAAGATCAACAAGTCTGGTTTTTCACTGGATGTCTGTAATGAGTTTGACACTGGCCTTTCCTAGTTTGCCACCTTCAGACTTAGCTGTGTGTTGTCAGATTGTTGAAATTTAAAATACTAGATTGACAAAATTTCATGTAACTTTTTGGTTATTGCTTTGGTGGACTACTTCAGTCGTACCAGCACTGGCAATTGGAAACAGGGGAATATTTTTTTAAATTTCTTCAGTGAAAGATACACTAGATGTGTTTCAAGTACACAGAGGTATCTGGGAGGGGATCAGGTCCTTAGCATCAGTCCCGTTAGAATAATTAGAAGAATATTAATCTCTTCATTCTGAGTCCGTGCTTCTTTGAGCTCATTGCACTTTTTATTTTTGTGAAGATAACTCTGGCCTTTGCAGGTCAGGGACAGAGCTTCATTCCAAGACACAATTTACAAGTTTTAAATTATTATCTGCTCTGTTTAAGCTTTTACTGACAAATGAGTGTGTTTCAAATATACTACTGGTTCCCCCACTGGCAATACAACGAAACGGGTGGAGGTGACCTGAAGAAGTGTTCGGGAGGGGGGTTCGTCATGGTTGTCTTACCAAGGACTTGGAAATCATGGCAGGAGTTTTGTCTTGCCTTATTTTCGGGGGATCTGAAATGCCTCCTGTGTATTCCTAGTATAAGACTTGGTATGGACCGGAGCTTTTTAAACAAAGGATCTGTTTTTCTGCTCAGGTGAAATGAGGTGGAGCATTTTTCTTGTTGGGGATAATTTTAGATTTCTAAGGACTGACTGCAAAATGTCAGTCAATGCCTTCAATAAATGTGGGACTTTGCAATTAAAATTATCTGCTTTCCTTTTCTTTTTCAGCCAAACGTGACATGGCAAATTGCTAGGAAACATTTTGTTTCCACATGTTTTAGCTGCCAAAAATAACTTTTCAGTTTTGGATTGCACAAAGTAGAAATGAGTCTTTGGATGAAATTTCCCCGAATGGAAGGGGACACTGGAAATTCATTTTCTATCAGATCTAAATTTTATTTAGATTTGGATAAAAATGACCTGCCCTCTCACTTAATCACCATTTTCCTGCTTGGCATTTCTGATACCCTACTAGTTCTCTGGAAGACCCAGAAGAAGGCAAGAAGAAAGGATCTGACAGCAGGGGGAGGAAAAAAGGCCACCAAAAATTCCTCCCATACGTCTTTCATTGCATTTGTTAAAGTGAATGTTTGTTGGAGAGAAGGAGATTCGTACAAATCTAGATTTAAATAACACAGGACGGTGACAAAGAAGAGAACCATCTTGGGAAATGACTTTGAATTTCCCGGCTTTTGTCAGATTTGTCACAGCCTTACCATTTGCAGGGTTATTGGGGGGAGATTTGGTCATGCCTTACCATTTGGCGGGTTTGTGGGGGGGGGGGGGCGGTGGAATTCTTTTAGCTCATACACTAAAACTGGAACTGTTCAAAGTATCGCATTTTCATCTTAGTACTTATCTGCCTGATCTTACGAGATGAAAACATACCCCATAGTGTGTTAGATGTAAAAGCCATATGTGGGTGATGATGTAGATGGTTATTAAAAGAGTTGATATAGTTAGCAACAGAGACGTTGTATCTAGTCACTCTTTTTTTTTCTCCTTTTTCTCTTGTAATTGGCTACGAGTGTCTCTAGATTCCCAAGGAGGGGTCTTCTCCACTACTTCATCATCAGCTACCTGCCACTGCGTTCCTATTTTCTTTGTTTCGTCTTTTCTCTCTAATTTATATTTTTCTTTCGACTGGAGGTGGAATGAAACATCTTTTGAGACCTCCTCTCTATGGGTTTTTTTTGCTCTTCGAGGGTTTCTTGGAAGGGTTTGTATCTCCACAGGGCAATATTGGCTGTTCTGGAAGACCTTCCAACTGTGCTTTTGGACAGGACGCCTGCATTTTTTTCCCCCAGAGCCATAATCTTTATCCACAAACATTAACTAGAAAGTTGTTAGGTGTTTCATTGTACTAATTCCTTGTGTCCCTTTTCCTGTAGACCCCGACTGGGCCAGCTTGAATCTGGGAGCCCTCATATGTATCGAATGCTCAGGTATACACCGAAACCTTGGCACGCACCTCTCCCGGGTCCGCTCTCTCGACCTGGATGACTGGCCTATAGAGCTCATCAAGGTGATGTCTTCTATCGGAAACGAGCTGGCAAACAGCGTCTGGGAGGAGAGCAGCCAGGGCCATATGAAACCTTCGTCAGACTCCACAAGGTAGGCTTTCCTAGTCCATCTCCCCATGGCACGCAGCGGGCAGGTAGGATGTGATGCCGCGCGTGGCCGAGGCTGTAAGCTATGAGCATGTAAATCCACATTTTGGCATTGCAGTCAGAGGTGGTAGGGCGTTACCACATTTTACAACATGGACTTCTAAAATTCTCCCTTGGAGTATGCCTTGTAAAAATCATTAGGTATATATATCTTCACCGCATGCCCAGGAAGAACATGTGTCAAAGGGAGGGGGTGTCAAAAGTTGAGTGACCCCGTTACTTTTTCACTCTTGTGAAGGTTTCCTCAGCAGCACTACGGTTTTTTTGTTCAATTGACTGACCGACAAAACAGCGGGAGATTGAACCCTCCCGCCTGGTGGTTCCTCAATCTAAATTATGCTGTAATGCCTTGCTTTGTTTCAGTCGGCCACAAAGTTCCTGGCTCTTGGACTATCAGTTTGTGATTCATAACGTGCCTTCAGTAGTTCCAGCTCACCCAGGAATCTGTACCTGGCCGCCAGGTCTTTGGGTTCTTATCACAGATGTTGGAAGTCCTGCTCACTGTGGACTTGCTTACTTCTTTTGTGTGATGTGTGTGAAACCGTAAGTTGGTGGGGGTATGTGTTTCTTATGAGAACAGTGTTTTACCTACCCGTCATAGCTCAACGCAGTGAAAATCTTTCTGCGATACGTTGTCCTACCAAAAGCTAAAGGTTTTTTATGCTTAATTAATCTGATCAGTGCAAAGAAATACATTTTGAAAATACTCTGCTAATTTTAGTAGATTTGAGGTGTGAGTACTACTAGTTGTAAGCAACACATTGGCTTGGGGGAAGCAGGAGGTTCAGGCAGGAGAAGGACCTTCTGGACTGCCTTGCACAGCTGGGCCAGCGTTTGACGTTCTCTTCAGCAGTGTGATAGAATTGTCTTGGGGCCAGCTCCAGGGGGGCAGCCTGCGTCCGAGCACTGGCCGGTCCCTGGGTAGCAAACAGCATGGCGGAGGTTTAGCTCTCAGTGTTTGCCTCCTGCATATGAGAGAAATCAGAGGGAATTATATTCTGATTTTGTTTATGTTTATCTCTGGATCCTGCGTTTTCCAGTGCCGGATCAAGTGAAGTTATAACCTGGGAGCGTATACCTGAGCCACCTCGTACGGTGTAGGAGTAGGTTTGTACTGTTGTCTGTAATAAAATCAACTGTTTCTTATTGCGTTATTTCGTTAGCACTGAAAAATGAATTTGTGGTGCCACCTTTGGTTCATCTTCGAGAATGAAGCCAGTACATTAATCAGGCTACTTAGATGAATGACTATGCATATAAAAATGTTCAGGGAGAGCTACACAGAGATTTTGTTCATACATAACCTGTATGCCTGCTCCATACATGTGTGTTATTTGACAGCTAATACAACGATTTCATCAGGTAGATCGAAATCAACTTATTGCTGTCTTTCAGTCATTAGTATTACTTTAGTCCAGAGATCTTATATTGCCGCACCTCACAAATATATGTTGCTCCTCACTGTTGAGGAAAGCTGGAGAGATACCTCAGTTGTAAATACTTTTAAAAGGAAAAGGCACACACTCAATTGGATTCTTATTTTTTAAAAATACTTTATTACACATATAATAAAGGTATTCTCATGAAAAATCTAAAATCCACGTGACTGACGAAATCCATTTGAATTAAATTATTCAGATTTTTATGCTTGGAAGTGAGTTACAGAAAATCAACTTTGTTCTCTTTGTATTTCATGCTCAGAACTTATTTTAATTCTCCTTTGTTTCTGTACATTGTTGTGTTTATATTCAGCTGTTTATGTTTGTCAGTCACCTAACGGCACTTTTTTTCCTGGACTGTAACATTTTTGAACAAAGTTATAAAGATTCATTTTATAAATATACATTTCCATCTACGTGTCCAAGTGCATACCTACGTGATGGAAGAACTGTTAGAGCTGTTAGAAAAAATAGAATTAAGATTATGTGAAAATTTTCCCGCAAAGTGATTGTAATCTTGCTTTGCTACTTCCATTTTTTCCACTGTTTGCAGCAGGGACTGAAGTGATATTTTTCACATAAATACCTGAAAGGTCTGCTTTCTGAAAGTATATGCCTCGTTTTGTGCTTTACCTTGGTCTCTACTAGCATCACAATCCTTCTGTCCAAGATGTGGCAAGAAAATAAGCTTAAGTTCTTTAGCGTGCATTCCATTTTCTCACTGCTGTTTGCAGTTTTGTGTGAGGAATCCTATCAGAAGCAGCTACCATGGACCTGAAGTGGGGTTAAACAAACCCCCCTGTTTTGTTGTTGAGGGGCTGAAGGGGGAAGAGGCAGCTGAAGTTGAGGGACTAGGGGAAGAGACAAGAAAGTAAGCAGGTAGAAATATGACTAGGGAGCTGAGATTGGGATTTCTGGTGGAGGAGGGATGGAGGGAGTCCGAGGATATTTGGAGATCAGGAAGAAAGAAGCGTTCAGCAAAACTTCTTCTGAAGAGGAAGAGAGCTGATAGTGGTGTAGGGCTGTCTCTGCCCATGCTGGTGGGCTCTGGGATCAGCCAGAGTCTGAGAGCTGCTACATGCAGAAGTTCACACACTCAACATGTTCCTGCTTTAATGAGTTCTCTTCTCACCAAAGCCCCATCAGATGGGAAAGTACTCTCGTGTTTTCCTCACAGTTTCTTCTGAACTTGTTCATATTCCCATTCCCTTCTGCAGCCCCACTCACTTCATCTGTCCTGCGTAGTGCTCCCATTTTCAGTTCCACTCATTACTCCACCCTCTATGGCTTTCCATATGTTTGCTCAGACCTCGCGGCTGTGCCTGCAAACGAAGTGTTGGAAACACAAGAACAGAAGATTTCTTAACCATTCCCCCAGCTGATGCAAAGGCTTGGCACAGAGCATCAGTGAAAGACCTTGGACGAATACAATCTTCTCACGTGTTTCTTTGTTAGGCACCCTTCTGTCTCCACTGTGTGTCCACCCGCCCCCCACCCCGCATCCCCAACACAAACAGTTGTCAGCACAATGATGGACGCTCTCTTAAGAGATGTTCGTAGAGGGGATCAGACATACATGGGTTTCACCACGTCGTGTCTTTCTATTGGAGATAAAGCCATCAGTGCAAACCCACAGGCTTTCTAGGGGTAAAAAAACGGTAATTGATTGCTCCACAGATACCAAATCTGCTGGGCTGGGAGGATCGAGGAGTGTTCATGTGCTGGACTAAAAGGAACCTGAAAGTCTTGCCATGGCTTCAGAAGCAGTTCCTTCAGCTTGGGAGAAGTCGGCACTGATCACTGAATCATTGCAGTGGCATCCCATGGGTTCTGTTGAGTAGAGGGAAGGGTGGAGAGACCCAGGGAGACCGATGTTTTGCAGGAGGGATTGCCAACTGGCTAATCTAGGTCACAGCATGACTAAGGAGTATTACTCAGGAAAATGTAACCAATATTTAAAAGAATGGAGCCAGTCCAGGCTGTGAATACAGCTTGCATTTTTAATTTTGTACATTCAAAAATAAGTAGAACCGATACCAAACTTAAACCACATCAAACATACCATACTGCTGTCCTTTCCTAGTCCACTCAGATTCACTTAAAACAAGAAAGTCATGGGGAAAGATAAACCTCAAAACGTGAAGGTCAGAAAGGCTGTCGGATCCGAGGGTGTGAACTCAAAGCCTGAGAGTTCTGTAGCAAAGGCTATTGCTTTCGTCAAGTGTATTGCCCAGGTCCTTGCCCTCCAATGTCAACATGATGCCAGTGGGTCTCATCAAGTCTGAGAGGCAGCTTATAAAATAGGCAGATCTCCAGGTCATTCGGTGGCTCTGGGTGAAAAGCAGCACCTTGGCTGGCCTCTAGCATGAAACTGGGAGGCAGCGGAGGTTGTGGGAGCACAGGTAGCATGGGATGCCCAAGGAAGCAGCCGAGAATTAAGCAGCAGCACAACGAAAAGTTCAGGCTGAGAGTGTTGACGTGATTTACGGGGAGGCAGGAGGAATAAACACAAGCTCCCGGTGAGCACAATAAGTTGGTGAAGCGGCAGAGAACCCAAGCACGGGTGACTACGTGCATGTGGAAGGGAAAGGGGACCAGCTGGCCTCTGAGCGGTGGTGTCCGTGAGTCTCTGATTAGGTCGGCTTTGGAAAGCTGGTAATTGGTTCCAGCAATTACCAGCAGCCCTGAGAACCGCCGCTCAAACTTCGGGAGCCCTGTGACAAATTGAAGCTGACTGCTGGTGAAGGAGTATCGACTTCCCATTTCTAAACAGGGGGATCATTAGTCAAGAAAAGCATCTTTTAAATACTGGCAGGAAGAAAAAAAAAAAAAAAGGAAAAAAGGAAAAAGATCTTTCAGTATGGATCCTGCAACAACTGCCATTTTTTTCCAAGTGTATTCAATATTACATTTATTGTCTTGGAGGGGAGAAGGTGAGCAGGGAGAGTTTGCCTGCGGTTCCTCCTTCAGTAATGCGGGTTTAATGTGGAGTGAGAAGTCAAATTAGAGTAAATCAATGTTGCGACAATTAACTGGGTCTGGGGATGAGATCAGGATTTTCCCCTCTAATTGCTATTGATACTATTTAAGTACACTCTTAAAACATCGATCCGGAGCCGTGCAACACAGGAGTAGCCCAGTGGGGGCAGGGGCAGAGCAGCTCCATGGAGGAATGAGAGATGTGGTGAAGCCAGCTTGGAGAATCTGCACTGTGTTTTGCCTGGGCCTGTTGCACCTGGTATGTAGATCTCCTACCAGATATTTGGCTTTATTCTGGAAACACCTCACATGTTTTGCTTTCTCCACGTACTATTCTTGCCTACATGGCTTCTGGTTTGCAGACTTGCTTGCCACTACTGACTTGCTAAGATGTTTTACAAATGAGACAAGATGTCACCATCCTCTGGCCCACTCCAGGACGTGATTATCTGCTCCCCAGCCCTCACCCCTTCCTCTGAGCTCCCAAGGTCTCCACCTCTGTCTTGCTGGGAGCGCTGGGATGGAC